AGTTAGCCTTCTTCCTTATTGCTTTAAGCTAGCGGGTAGAGCCACCGTACGGAGTCACAACATGTCGTGACAGAGGCACCTGGTTTCTCAAGGTGCTTCCCCAGCACTGTCTCTATGGGAGGGTGGTCGCTCTAAGCCACCGCAGCGTGGCTATGGGCTAGTTGGGTTTTTGGCATGATACCTGAGGCTTCTTGACCTTAAAGAGCTTTTCTGTAATCACATTCAACATATGATATAAAAAGAAAAAGGAATGTGTAGAAGTTTTTGATTCTGGTGGTGTCAGATGAAACTAAATTCAATCTGTGTTAACCTCTGGATCAACAAAAGCGTGACCTTTCTCTTCCTGAAGTACCCAGTAACTGAGAAATCATTGTTATTTATCTCTAGTTAATGAACCCCAGGTGTCTCTTCCCACCTGCCAAAATAAGGAGACTTCTGTGTGCGCTCAGCAGAAGATGGGTAAGCATGCCACTTGTGCCACTTATCAGACACCAGCGTATTTTCCCTTCATTGTTTTTTATTGACCTTTATGCTACAATAGTGCCCTAGTCACCTGGGTGACTTTCTAAATAGGCTAAAATAATTTATTTTTCTTTGTATAAGTCCTTTTAGGAGACCCTCTGCTTCTCTGGCTGCCTTCAGACAGTTCAGCTCCTTAGGGAGAGTATTCAGTTCTGAGTAAAGCTGTCCTCACCCAGATCCTCCCAGCTGCCACCAGCCCCACCAAGGTGTCCTGTGCTTGAACACCAGTAGCTGACCCATGGTGACTCTCGGCAATGGCAGGACCTGTAAATGGGGAGGGTGCCTGGGCAAAAGAATGATGGTTCCCCTCATAGTGAATTTGTGAAGAAGCTTTCATAGAATCATTAAGACTGGAAAAGACCTCTAAGATCATCTAGTCCAACCGTCAGCCCAACACCACCATGACCACTAAACTGTATCCTGAATCAGTGTGACATCTCCATGGTTTTTTGAACACCTCCAGGAATGGTGACACCACCACTTCCCTGGGCAACCTCTTCCAATGCCTCACCACTCCTTCAGCAAAGAATTTTTCTTAATATCTCATTTGGGATTTAAAGGCTGTTATGGAAAAGAACCTCCACACCCGAATTACTGTTTGTCTGCCTATTCTTTTTATTATCTTATCTAAGACCTGAACAAAAGTAGAGTGAAAGCTTGTAAAATAATAAGCTTGGAGTTTTTTGTCTTAACTTTCACCTAAGGCATCGAGGTGTGATCTTCCATTTCAGAATCATGTGAGAAATTCGAAGCAGAAAAAGCAACCTCTAGGAAGTCTGTCATAGTGGTAACCACTGCCTCCGGGGAGCAAATAGAAGATGAGATTGTGGAAATGTACTTTGAAAATAAAAAGAAGTCTGGTGGGGGGCCCATAGAGTCCTGTGTCAAAACAGATCAGCAAATTATCATCACCTTTCAGGATGAGGAAGGTATGATCGTATCTTATATTACTAGAGCTCCCTTTTAAAAATAGGCATTTTCTGGTGCTGGATCTCGCTGTGGCTATTGCTCCAGCAGAAATGACACATTATTCCCGAAGAGTATCAGGATCTAAAAAGAGCCTGTCTGTCCAATGCAGATGTGGCCTTCTGACAGTGTTTATGATAACCCACAGGGAAAGGAGATCTATAGACCTGACTCAAATGCTTGGTCAAGGCTCACAGAGAATAATGCAGGAGAAACGTTGTCAGGAGGGCTGCAGAATAAGTAAGCTTTAATTCTAGCTCAGGAGACTGGATAAAGCATAGTACAGTATTAACTGCAGATCACAGGTAAATATTATTTTGTCATATTTTCTGCCATATTCATTTCAATTGCCATGGCTTTGGAGGTTGGGAGGAAAAGGGGTACTAAATATTATGTATTCTTAAGTGTCGCGAGTAAAATGTTTTTCTAGGCTGCTTTGGGTTAGCAGCAATTTAGGATTTATTAATATTTTTGAGATAGATCACAAGATGAGCACTTAATCATCAGTCAGTTTAACAGAATGATTCAGTGGAATTGGTTACCTTGATGTTCTTTTCAGGCCACAGATGGCCGGGGTGGCCAGGAGGTGCTTGATGCCCAAGTTGCGGTACTTGTAACTGAGATACCAGTGCTTGCTACCAAGATAACAGCACAGTGGGACTTATCCCGAGATCTCAGAGTGGCCCTGGGGCAGCTGCACCACCACAGTAAGACAGAGGTGAATGCTCACCTCTGTGGAGAAAATTATTTTAAAGTAGCCTCAATTTATTTGTAGTTTTCCTCTATGCTGAAATGCTGTTGGCTACTTGTTAGTGTGTGAAGGATGTATACAAATAGAGGAAATGGTCAAATATAGTTAAATAGTTAATAGTTAAATATTTGTTAAATACACAGGGGGTTTTTTCCCTCTGGGGGACTGGGAACATCTAAATCATAGAGTAGCTTTTATCCTGGCCCTAACTTTCAGTGTAGTTTTGCCTTATTTCTGTTTCTTCTGTCCAAGGAGAAAACGTGTAGTCTAACATGTTGCTTTGCTGTGGTGGGAGGGGAAGGAAAGATTACATCTTTATTTATTTTCCTGTGGAACTAGATGCCCAAGAAGTTTTGCAAAGGGAGCATCACTCCTTGAAGAAAATCGATCTGTTAGTGAAGCCATGGCAAGCGGAGACGCTCCAGAAGCTGTGCCAAGTGGAGGACTCTGAGGGATCCCTGCCGTCCCCTATGGTGGTGCTTGAGAATCTGCAGGAGACAATGAAAAATTGCATGTTAATTATGCTGGTAGAGAACATCAGTGGCTTGTCAGAGGATGATGGTGACTTCACTGTGGAAATGATACCAGAAATACGTGCTGCTGTAGTTACTTTTAGCGGAAATACTGGTAAGAAGGAGTCAAAGTTGCAGATCTCTCTTGATAGCTTTCATGTCATGGTCCAGTCCCAAATTTTTGTGTAACCTTTAGGAAATACCTAGACGCTTTAAAAACTTGATTGTGTGATTGTCTTACAGATGTAAAAGTAACTTGACTATCTTTTACTGTGATGACAGTGGGGGGAGACATAGCCAAAAACAGAATGTGGTTATCGTAAACCAGAAAGAATCCAAATTTAAACTGTTGACTTATGTCTGATTAGCCGTGTATAAAGCCATAGCACAAAAATTAAACTGACCATATGTTTTGGTGAGGGATGTTAAAGAGACTCAGTGCTGCTCTGCAGGAAAACTAGTGACAAATTCTGTCTACGTAATTGCATCAACAGCTGTGATCAACCATATGGTGAATACTAGGTGACAGATACTGAGTATTTGGAAAGTAGTAGCTTTGTGGGCACCTCTGCATTGACATCATAGTAAAAAAATGAGCCACTGGTCTCATGTTTTTGTATTTTGTGGGGGTTTTTATTTGTTTGTTTGTTTTTTTTCTCCATTCTCTTTCTAGATGCAAGGGAATTTGCTGAAAAGCTTAATCAACACCGCAGAGCAAAGCAACAAAATATTACTGCGCGGTGCCTTGAGCTCACAAAAAGTGTTAGGGTGGAAAATATCACCCCTGACATACCCAGTGACTATATAGCCATCTACTTTGAAAGTAAGAAGAATGGAGGTGCGCAGGTGGTGGACGTTCAGCAGCTGCCTGATGAAGATGCTGCTATCATTACATTCCATGACCATAAAGGTAATGCAGAAATTCAAGGCCCTTCTTTCTCTGAGACATTTTCACTTAGATCAAAATGTGAATTTTCTAGAGAAATGCCTACTTTGCCTTCGGAAAACAGAGGATCTGGTGCTTTGTCAGCAGGTCTCTGCTAACTGGAGTGCAAGCTTAAGTTGTGGACCAGCTGGGTATGAGGCACAGAATTTTTTCCTTTTTATGCACAGTTTATTTTGCTTGGGCCTTGATCTTTACAGAGTTACGGTTTGAGTTCAGTAGATAATGCACAGCCCCACGCAGCGCAGGAAGCTTCTCCCCCACCTTCACCACCAGCTGCCCCGTGGCAACGTGTGCTCTCTGGTTTGCCTGAGGACAATTCCTTGGGCAGCTTTGTGGTTGGAGAGCAGGCGATGTGGCTTTCCCAGCAAGGGGCAGAAAACAGGTGCCCCCGG